TTTTTTTTTCTGAGGTTGGGTAGAAAAGCAGCAAGGCAATGCATAGGGCAGAAGAGTGAAGGAAGGCTGTAAGATCATTCAAGGCATCGTTAAAGGCATTGAGATAGAACCGGAAAAAATAAGAATATTCGGACAGATCATGAATAATCTTTAAACTCACTAATGTCAAATCCATCCTCTTCCTTGGGCTTCTCCTTCACTTCATTTTGAACCGCCTCTGAAGGTGGCTTTGCTGATTCTCCAGGTTTTGAGGGTTCCGCAGGTTTTGGTGGTTCCGTAGGTTTTGCTGGTTCCGCAGTTTCTGCTGCTTCCGTAGATTTTGCTGGTTCCGGAGGTTTTGCCGGTTCCGAAGGTTGTGCTGGTTCCGAAGGTTGTGCTGATTCCGAAGGTTTTGCTGTCTCGTCCTTTATTCCCGGAGTGGTATGGTCGATAATTACAGGAATCTCAGTGGAAGTCTGATCGAACACTTCCACATCAACTGGTACGTAGGCAGGTACAGTAGTGGATGTGGGATCGTAGACTTCCACGGGAACTTCCAAATCTACCAAAGCTGGAACAGTTGTGCTGGTTGGATCATAAAGTTGTACAGGTACATCAGCCTCTTGGGATTGGCTGGGTGTTTCTTCAGTTTTTTTGTAGAACGGAACATCGGTCGAGGAGTACTCTATAACAACAGGGATTTCAACAGAACCTTCTTCATCTACAGTATACCCATCGCTAAGACCATTTAAGGTATTCTGCGAAGAGGAAGTATCAATAACGACAAGATCACCGTTTGTCGTTTTCTCAGCTTCAGTTGGCGGTTCTTCACGAATCCATACGATATCATCCATGAGATGAAAAACACAGAGATGGGAATGTAACGGAGAAAGAGCACGTTCGTACACTGCTTGGTTGACTGAGGCGTGATACGCCGCCGCCGCCGCCGCTGCTGCCGAAGCGCTGCTCTCACCGCTACGCTCTCAACGCGTGTTGCTTTTTATAACGACATATGTCACTAGATCGACAACATCTCCACGCAATGGCATCGTTGTGTAATCTGATGAT